GCTCTCGGGGGCTGTGGCCTCTGCAGCTCTAAGTGGATACTGGCTGAGGTTTCTGGCGTGGCCAAGGGTGCCTCTCAGCAGAGACAGTGGCCCTGAGATGTTCTCCCCTCAGTTCCTGCGTCAGGCTGTGGGTGGAATGCAGGGATGCAAATTCCTCATGGTAGTTCCTGTTCCCTCACAGGAAACCTGGCCACACAGGCTTACGAGTCAGGGGATAAGTAGGTAATTAGACAGGGTTTCTCCCCACCTCCTACCGTCGTGTCTAAAATTTCATTACTAGAAACCTATATAATTTCTGCCTTTTGGAATGTCCTATTAAAATGCATATCCCCCTGGCAAAGACTATATTTTAAGTGCCTATTACCTGACTTCTCAGCTAGGAATATTTGAGTGAGGAAATTATGGAAAACCTACAGTAAGAAATTTAGGGGGATAGGATGGAGGTGGGTTGGAGGAACTGGGTGACTAGTAGCAACAGGAGTGGAAGGGGGACATTGGGGAATTTCAGGGCACTTAGGGACAGCTTGGGACAGGTTCCAGAGTTTAAATAAAACAAAACACAGTCCTCAAAAAAGTTACCAAGGCAGGGTATTTGTTTATCCATTCCTTCATCCATTTATCCATCCATCCTTCAACCCTATGTAATAGGTTGTGCCTGGTACTAATCCCTTCCCTCTAGAAGTTTCCCATCTGGTGGGATAAGATATATGTAAAAATGACCTCCACATAAGGTAGTAAGTATTAATGCTCACAAGACAGGGACAGATAAAGGCTGTAGGAGCTCTGAGGTGGGCAAGCCCAAGGACACTGGGTAGAGCTTCCTGGAGGAGGTGGCCTCTGAGCTGGATCTTGAAGAGTGGGTAGGACTCCAGCACATGGAGGCAGTGAAGGACATCTGGACATAGGAAGGGCATTGGAAAGGGAAGGAGGCAGGAAATCGCAGGTATGTTGCGGGATAGGAAGGGGCCTGTTTGGCTTCACAGAGCTTGTGAAGAAAAGATTGGAGATAAAGGTGGAAAGGCCTTGGCCTTGACTCCACGGAGCCCTGAGTCTTGGACTCAGAGTGGACGTTGTTCCCAGAAGAGCTGTGGCTTCGCTCTTAAGCCCAGGGAAGCTTGGGCAGGGCTGGTGATGGTGGCAGGGCAGTGCGAGTCAGAGAGTGCACTGGACAGGGCCGAGGCGAGGGCTTAGAGTTAGGCAGACTCGAGTCCCATTCCCAGCTTGTCCTTTTGCTTTGCTGGGAAATTTAGAGCAAACTATTTGGCTTCCTGTGTCTTCAATTTTTTTTAACCTGTTTTTTTAAGAAAAACACTTAACATAAAACTAGGCCAAAATGTTTTTAAAATTTTCCAGGACTGGAGGCTACACCCATGGCACTCTCCAATTTTTTTAGCGCTTGAGTTCCAGAAACAGCAGATACAGTATCCATAGCTGTAGGTGGATGCATGCTGGCCCATATTATAGCATAAATCTATTCGCTTATCTGTTTATTTCCTGATTCTGTAAGCTCCTCCAGGGTGGGGACTTGGAATACTCCAATATGTAGAACAGGACCTACAACATAGCAGATGCTAAAAACTCATTTGATATATGAACTAGTACGTGCTTGGTGTATGCATGCGTCTGTGTGGATGCTTAGGGGGGAAGGTCTACAAAGAAATGTACCAGATGTTGATAGTGATTATATCCCAGCAATGGAATTATGTGTGGTTTCTCACTGTCTTCTTTATCCTTTCCTCAGGGCATAGATATTTTAATAATATATTATTTTTTAAAAAATGGAAGTATTTTGAAATCAGATAAAGCTTAGACTGAATTTTAGCTCTACTCTTTACTTGCTTTGTAGCCCTGGGCAAACTTATTAGCATCTCTGTGTCCCTTTAAAATGGAGATAGTATCTATTTCATCGAGCTGTGGTGAAGATTAAATAAAATGTGTATGTTGAAGCTTGGTGCAGCACCTGCCTGAGAGTAAGTCTTTAGTACATGGTACTGCCTCTCTTCCTCTTCATTATTACTGTTTTTATTATTCTTTTTTGGGGGGGAAGGGAGATCACTAGGATATAAATAAAGGTCCCCAAGCCTCAGGGACAAAGGGGTCTATGTTTAATCTCAAATGTCCTTTCCTGATGGTGGGCAGGAGGGAGTCACTAGGCTCCCAAGACAGTGCAATGTGGTGAGTTCATGAAGGACAAGCCAACCAGTGCCATTCACATCTCAATAAAGGCCCATCATTAATATGATATTAAATCTTTTAAGACTTCTAGACCCTTATCTGTTTTATTATGGATTTTAGCAGTAAGATAGACTGGGTGGGCAGGAAGATGAGGGAGGGATCCTGTCCTCTATACTTCTCTGGCTGGGATGAGTAGAAACCCAGGCAAAAGAATGACTGAAGGCCTGGGAGCCAACAGTGTGAGCTCCAGGGTCTGCTGGAGGGAAGAAGGCTTCCGGGGAGCTGGTCAGAAGCTGTGTGTCCATCCTCAGCCAAGGCCGGAATCAGAAGAACTACTTTACTTTGGCCCAGAGACTCGGGGGCATGAGCTCCAATCTCAGCATGCCATCTTTTAGTTCAAAAGGCAGAGGGCAGATTTCCTAGTCATAGATTTGTGGTATTTATCTTGGTCAAAACTCACGTTCTTGTCCATCACAATGATGAACTTCACTGCTCACCTGCTCACTTTCCAGAAAGCCCACCAGAGAATGTCTCAGGCAATGACTCAGTTGTTAACTATGGTAACTTCTGGCCTGAATCCTGCTACCTCCCACTATGGGAGGTTTGCTTAAATTAATTTAGAGTGAAACCTGAAGGTCCTGCTTTTTTTCTCTCCTTTAAAACTGAAACAAGCTCTAAGACAGGCAGCTCCCGCCCCCATCCTCTGGCCGATCCTCATTCCTATAGGATTTTCAGAGCCATTCTAAGCAGAAAATGCCTAAGACCTCAAACATAAGAGTAGCAACAAATTTTGTCATTGACTAAAATTTCTGATTAACCAAGTGTTTTAAGATCCCCAAAGAGATCTCTTCCCAAGTCTTGAACCCCAAATGTTTCTCCGTAGTCCTAATCAAAAGCAGATAAAGCCTTTGTTTCTGGTTCCCAGTGATCTCTCAGCCTTTTGAATGCTCTTCTTGATGAAAAGGAGAGAAGGCAAGGAAATGAGTTTTTCCTCCTAGGCCAGTGATGGCGAACCTATGACACCCATGTCAGAGGTGACACACGAACTCATTTTTTTGGTTGATTTTTCTTTGTTAAATGGCAGTTAAATATATAAAATGAATATCAAAAATATAAGTCTTTGTTTTACTATGGTTGCAAATATCAAAAAATTTCTATATGTGACACGGCACCAGAGTTAAGTTAGGGTTTTTCAAAATGCTGACACGCCGAGCTCAAAAGGTTCGCCATCACTGTGACCTAGGCTTTTAGGCCAGGTGTCCAGGAATATCTCTCATATCCATACCTTAGTACCATGTCTAATGCTGCTACCCCAGCTATACCTGATTGCATCAGGAGTGGGGACCTGACCCAAGAGCAAGTAAACATTTGCTGGCCAGTGGCCCACGAGGTGCTAGAGACTCTGTCCTAATAGGAAAGAGCAGAGCAGGAGTTTGAAATGAAGATGATATAAGGCTGAAAGTATGCATCTCACAAGCCAAGAGGAGTCATTAATCAGCTGAAGTTGGGATAAGTTAAATTTATGAGAGAGCAAAAAACATAATATACTGAGGCAGTTGCTGGGTCATTAGAAGAGGAGTGGATATAAATGGACATAAACATTGTCACTGGGACTCAGTTGTCCTTAGTGGAACTGATTGTGGGCTTGTGAGTTTCATAGTCATAACTCTGAGTAACACCATAAATTGATGTGTAGTGGAGAGACTGAAGCTAGTTTTGCCAGCTTATTTTTCAGTAATCCTTAGAACAGGTGGTGCCAGTGTCCCCTGTGGCCTCAGTCTTCCAGCGAACATCACTAGCACATTCTTAGAGTCCAAAATCAGTCTTGGCAGCCTGGCTCTCCTCTGACCTCTTTGGCCATCTGTAAAGCTACTTTCCATTGAGCCTTCCCCTCACCTTGAGGCTCACATGAGGCTGACATTAGAGGTAGCCTCCGTTTTCCCTGTTTGGCGTGAGCATGTCTGGTCTATATTGAGTCACAGCCCCACAATTAAACAAGCACATTCTCCTCTCTTCATGTGCTCCCATCTTCCTCCAGGGGGAAGCCCCAGTAGATTCACAGCCCAGCCAAGCACATTTTATTTATTTACTAGAGGCCTGGTGCATGAAATTTGTGCATGGGGTGGGGGGAGGGTCCCCTCAGCCCAGCCTACACCCTTTCCAATCCAGGACCCCTCAGGGGACCTCTCAGAATCCTGGACTGCTGGCTCCTAACCACTCACCTGCCTGCCTGCCTGATCGCCCCTAACTGCCCCCCCTGCCAGCCTCATCACCCCTAACTGCCTCTGCCTGCTGGCCTGATTGCCCCCTACTGCCTCCCCTGCCAGCCTGATCACCCCTCACTGCCTCCCCTGCTGGCCTGGTCGCCCCTAACTGCCCCCCTGCCAGCCTGATCACCACCAACTGCACCCTTGCTGCTGGCCTGGCTGCCCCATGAAGCCTGTTGCTCAGTCGTTTGGTCGCCCCTGACTAATTCCCTTGCCGGCCTGGTCACCCCATGCAGCCTGTTCAGTCGTCCGTTCAGTTGTGATGGTCACTTAGGCTTTTATATATAGATAGATTTATTGATTTATTTGTTTGTTTATTCATACATTCATTTTTTTTTTAAATATATTTTATTGATTATTTTACAGAGAAGAAGGGAGAGGGAAGGGAGAGGGATAGAGAGTCAGAAACATCGATCAGCTGCCCCCTGCACACTCCCCACTGGGGATGTGCCCGCAACCAAGGCACATGCCCTTGACCGGAATCGAACCCGGGACCCTTCAGTCCGCAGGCCGACGCTCTATCCACTGAGCCAAACAGGTTAGGGCCATTCATTTTTTTTTAATATGGAGTGCTTCACAAATTTGTGTGTCATCCTTGCTCAGAGACAATGCTAATCTCTGTATCGTTCCAATTTTAGTATATGTACTGCCGAAGCGAGCACAGCACGTTTTACATTTGGTAACAGAACCCCCTGAAATTATGTGTGAAAGGAAGTAGCAGAGATCAAATCTCCTCAGAAACTTTGCTTTATATTGAACCTTGGTTTTTCCTTTGGCTTCTCTAGTTTTTGTCTTTGATTATGTCCATAGACTAATCCTAGAAGTTGTGGCCAAGAAGGATTTCAAGAGGGTAACTGGAAGTTATTTTATTTCCTAAAAGAAACATTGTCCTAATTGGGAGATGATGAAATGATTATAGGATTTCCTCTGGTTCAAAGATTTTTAGGGGTACACATAAAAACGATCTAAATCTTTTAAAAGCCAAAGAAATGCAAAATTCAAACAGTATAGCACTGTGGATAGATGTGGCAAATTTGCCTGAAGGGATGAGAGAATTGAGAAATGGTCTCTCTCATAAACACATGGGAATCCATGTGTCCCATCAGTGCTGTGGCAAAAACTCAGTCATCGTCCCACGAGGAACCTCTTCTGTAGTTAATAAGTCACAGCAAGAAAGGACACAGCAACCCCCAAAACATTTGGGGAGACAATCCCAAAACTGTTCGGGATTATATAGTCTGTATCTTTTAGCCTCAGATATATAATTCTGAGTAGAATTTTAAAAGCAAGCTAAAAACACATTATTAATATTTTTTGCATTAAGGAATCTGTGAATATTTTATCATTTCCAAAGGTTAAAAATAATTTAGCCTGTTAGAATAAAGGCATGTCTGGTAATTCTAATTTCATAGGTATACTTCAGTTTATTTAAATTTGTGATATTAAATTGAAGTTTCTTTATAAATAGTATTGGAACATGTAAAAATTAAGATTCACTGAACTTATAAGTTTAACTGATAGCTTTACAGGGGTTAAGTGCTTGGTTTTATAAGCTAAATCAGACAATTGGTATGCTTCAGAGGGCTAAAATATGGTAATAAAGGTAGATTTAACATCCACCTCACTTCCCTCTCTCTTGAAACCTCAGAAAAACTATAAAAAAAGGGATTTTTTTTTTTTAAAGACAGAAGCCCATAACGATGGAGAGAAAAGGCAAGGAGACAAAGGCAATAAATTCTGGAAGCTGAAAAGCAGATGGATGACTGTTAATTTACTTAGCAGATGCAAGAAAACTTAAGCTGGAATGTTAAGCCTGAAATGGAGAAGGCCAAGAATATCCTGATCTAAACCATAGCACCCTCAAAAGACTCAGAGCAGAAACTGGGGAAGAAGGTGGAGGTAGTGGTCAAAAAAGGATCACTGGTTAAAAGTAGTTTGAGCTCTAGATCACATCCCCCATTGCAAACCTCCAGCTGAATGCCTCTCTCCATCCTTGGCAGAATAAACATGGACGTTTCTTCTCTAAGCAGAATCAAACAGAGGGATTCTGGACTGGAGGGTACGAAGGCACAGGTGACAGTGTGAGCACTGTGCCAAAGTAGAATAAATAAATGAATGTATGCACATGGCATGCTGAGCGCTGAGACCTCCACAGAACCCCGGTCCCACCTTCACCAAGTCATTATTCCCATTCAGTTCCAACAACCACTGAGAGCTAAGCTTCTGTCAAACAGGGTTTGCTAGACATCTGAAAAAAAGCTCTACTACGGATGACAGAGACCAAGACAAACAAACCAGTGAGTGGGAGGAAGCAGAGACCACATAGGGGAAGGAAACATAAATAATGTGATTCTTACATCAAGCAAAAATAAGCACAGATATTACAGCCATGAAACCAGAACAAGGCGGGATAAAAGGAAGATTTAGGAAATAAAAAAAAAGGTCCTTGGAAATGAAAAACAGGATAGCACAAGTGAAAGGAAAAAAAAAGAAGAAATGAAGGTGAGGAATTCCTCCAGATAATCTGCAAAATAATAGAGACAAAACAAAACAAAACAAAACAAAAACTTAGGACAACCAACATCCAAATACCAGGAGTTCTGGAAAGAAACAGAAAAAAAGAAAAGAAAAAGAAAATAGCTGAATTAATCATCAAAGAAATGATTAAGAACATTTCCTAGAGTTGTAGAACAGGAATTTCTGGATTTAAAGAGCTCATCACATTCCCAGATGACGGATGATAATAGTCCATATTGAGCACAGGATATAGTATCATCATTGTGGGGTTACATAGCTGCTAAAAAGAAATATAAAAAGGCTCAAAAATTAATAGGTGAACTGGGTGAAACTTTGCAACAGCCATAATAGAAAATAGAAGACAACTGAACAATAACTTTAAAATTTGGAGGAAAAACAGTTTTCAATTTAGAATTTTCTACCCAGACAAATGGTAATTAAATGTGAGGATAGAAGAAGGTATTTCCAGACACAGAAATATCAAAAGATTTAGCTACTATGCATACATTCTTGGGAAGTAAGTGGGGGATGTACATCACCAAAACAGGAAATGAACAGTCCATTCTATAAGGAAACACTGAAAATGTTGAGTTTCTATATCCTGATTTTCTTTTAGGGTGAGAAAGTGGGCCATTTGGCTCTGTGTTAGATAGAATGTTGGACATTTGAGAATGGTTAGGATTTAAATAGGAGATAAGTCTGAAGTATTCTATTATATAAATTATACAGGGCTAAGAAAACTGGAGTGTACATAAGGCACAGGTGCAGGGAATCTCCGGGACTGTGGTGAAGGAGGTATCGGGTGCCCAGCAGTGAGACTCAAGAGATGGACCGATTATCATCACCATATTGGCCATCATCCCCCACCTTCTAAATCAGCTAAACGATGGGAGGTTGTGCTCCCACAAAATAGGAGAGTAAACCAAGAAGGAGAGTGACATGAAATCCAGGAAACAGGGATCTTACTCATCAGAAGACAAGGGGAATTCTTGGAACGACAGCACAGAGAATCACGGTGACAGTCTGCAGCAGGCCTAGACCAGCCCCGGAGCCAGAGAATGGGATTCTCCAGGAGGGAGGCCTCCAAGAGGGAAAATGCTGTGTTAGATCCTGACATTATAACATTTATGAAATGTTGTACTGAGTTTTGTGGAAACTCTCGGAAGAAAGAGCAAAATGTACAAACAAACAAAAACTTCCAAGCAAATTTTTAAAAAGCAAGCAATTGTTAACTTCAGGGAAAACAAAAAATAAGAAATAAAACAGAATCATGGTATCTTACGATGCACAGCTGAGAATAACGTTTACCTCATAGACACAGAATGTGACCACTGAGAATTGCCTCAACCAAAGATCTTGATATAATTGTAGTGAGACAATGATCTGGAGAAGCAGAGAGGAAGGTGGCATGAGAGCAAAATCCTTTTCTGTTATTATAGGTCAGGAGAAATAACTCAAATTGAGCGACCAAAAGTTAGCAGTATATGCATATTATTTAGAAATGTGGAGGAGTGTATATTTCAAAAGAAATGTCTGGAAAAACAGAGAGCAGGTACTGTGAGCGGTGAGGCAAGGAAATTACATTTTTTGAAATTGATTTTAGAGAAGGAAGAAGGGAGAGGGGAGGGAGGAAGAGAGAGAGACAGAGAGAGCAAGGAGAGGGAGAGAGAAACATCGATGTGGGAGAGATACATCGACCAGTTGCCTTCTGTACACACCCCTATCGGGAATCAAACCCACAACCTAAGTATGTGCCCTGACCAGGAATCAAACCCACAGCCTTCTGTGCATGGGAGGATGCTCCAACCAACTGAGCCACCTGGTAAGGGCAGGAAACTACAATTTTTTTGTTATAAGGCTTTTGTACTATTTGGCTATGAATAATGTGCATGAGTTACTTTAACAAAAAAAAAAATAATTTAACAAGATAAACTAGAATATATTAAATTTATAAATACAATTTTAAATGTTTAATGCTTAATTAATTTTGTAAATGGGACCGGTTTTAACCAAAGGCCCCTAAAAGTGATAGTCAGATTTACTAGAATAATATATAAAATAATAAAGTTGAATGCAAAAGCTTAAGGAAGAATTAGGTTTAATTTACTTGAATAAATTTAATATTATTCTTAACAAACCAAAGTAACTTCTGAATATCTTTTTCTGTACATAAAAGCCCATTTAGAAAAAATGAAATTCCCTCATCTTATCAGATTGTAAAGCCTGTGGTAAGTGCTGGAGGAGGGGAGACGGCTGGGGGTGCATGGCTGACTCAGCTTTGGGGGAGAAAAGTCTTCCCCTGTGGGTGGTTCATGAGTGCCCACCATCCATACCCTGGGGAGATGGCCTGCTGGGGGCACCGCTCTCTCCTCACCCAGACCCCGCTTCCGCCCCGGGTTCTGTATCAGGCCACCAGATGGGCTATTTGATCTGGAGCTGGGTGTGGTCATTCCTAAGTCACACCTTGTGCGGAGCAGCCTTCTCCTCAGCTCTGGGCAGTTCCGGTGGGGTAGATAGTAAGGTGACAAACTGCTTTCTCGGTCCCGTTGGTGACCTTCACGCCAGGACCTTGGGCTGCGGGGGAAGGAGCAGTGGCCGCTAATTAGGAACAGACTGGGGTGCGGGCGGGCCGGCTGCAGCGGGTGTGGGGGCTCCAGGGACACAGAACAGAGACTTTTGTCTAAAGAAGTCCAACCTGAAAGGAGGACAACTGTTGAATTAGCCCACACTAATGGGGACTCATTTTCTTTTTTAGGTATATTTTTTATTGATTTCAGAGAGGGAAAGAGAGGGAGAGAAACATCAATGATGAGAATCACTGACCAGCTGCCTCCTGCACGACCCCCCACTGGGGATCAAGCCCACAGCGGGGCATGTGCCCTTGACCGGAATTGAACATGGACCCTTCAGGCCACAGGGCGACGCTCTATCCACTGAGCCAGAACAGCTAGGGCCGGGCGCTCCTTTTCAAAGATGGTTCCACAGTTACCCTCAGGAACCGATTTTTGTCCACGTTTTCCAGGCCTCTGCTCTCCAGAACGCGGGGCTGAACTTAAACAGGACAATTCTGTGGTACAGTAGTTCCCCCTCTGTATTTTGCTTCCCATAGTTTCGGTTGCCCATGGTCAACTGTGGCCTGAAACTA